ATCAATCCACCCTCGTATAAGTTTATTTTAGAGTATTGGTTTAACTGACAATGTTAAACGTGGAAATTATTATAAACTTTAATTAATATCAGCTATACAAATTTATAACAACATTCTCAGTAATTTTTATTTTTAATTTATTTATTAGTTTTTTTTTTTATTTTATTATACCATAAGTACTGCCCATATTGTTTACCTATATGAGAAATAATTTTAACATAAAATAAAATTTGTGATCTCAAGTAGCAGACGCCACTGGTTTAAATTTTCATTTATTAACATTCTTTTCTTGGCTGCACCCACTGTTTTATAATAATACTGATGTTAAGTAAATGTCGTGATGTTCGATTTTATTTTAAATCGTGACGTAAGCATAGGAGATTGAGTAGAATTACGTAAAAAAAATTGTGTGGAATCTTGGAATCTTCCGACTTAATGTTCGCATTAATTGTCTTATTACGGTCTGAAGCATTCAAAGAATAAGAGAAACTTGAAGTATAAACCCAAAATACGTAATTGTTATGGTTTTAAGTACAGTCTTGCTGTTGTACAATCAACAAAATGTTTACGACTTGGTATAATTTTATTAATTGTTGTCAAGAATATGTACCTCATTATTGCAATAACGATGATTCATCAGTAATTAATTGGACGCATTTTTCTTGTCCTTTTCAGATTCCCACATTCCGATGGTTGCTGCCTATATTTATGCTCTTATGGAAAATAAAAGCTGGTAAGCTATAAAAAAAGCCTAATTAACTAATAATTAATACTTAATATGAATGTGAAAATTCATTTAATTTTTATCCACTACAAATTACTTTAAATTAATGAGGTAAAAAATTGCTGTTGCTGTTACATCCTCGCCGGGAATAGAACCCGAGACCTTTCGCTTTACAACCAATCCTCTGGTCACGAAGCTTCGAAAGGTGATAGCATCAGCAACCAGCAACGACGAAAAATGCCTAACTAGGAAGTAATTATATTTTCTCAAAAATTGTCGTTTCCGAATCTTTTAATTTTCATTTTTTAATGGTGTACCTATGTCAACGGTCACCGGTGAATACTCGATTCAAAAAGTTCGTTGTTTACTTATATTTCGGACATAGACCATCGAAATTAGTGACTGTCGACATGCACCGGTGCATCTTCACATTCACTAATAATGGATTTTCACTGAAACCGATACCTGTATTGAATTCATTCTAGTGGAAGGATTTGAGTAACATTAAGTGAAAAACACAGTATACCTGTCTAATTTGATTTACTCGTTTGAAACACAGGTGTTACAGTTGTTCAGAATACCATAAAATAAATTGATATTACGGTTTTGATGCGTAATAATCGTTTAAACTTGTCGACAGACGGTGAAAGTTACTATATAGATAGAAAAATATTTTCTTACAGCTGATGAATATCATTAAGTGTCATAGAAAGTTGTTGAACATGTTTCTGGCTCAATAGTAGTGATGAGTTTAGTTCAATGAAAACAGCGTGATGTAATGATAAAGAAAGAAAGCCTGTTTGAGATCTGTACCAATTTATTAAAAAAAAATCGGTTGTCTGTAAAGTCGGTCTACTGACGATAGTTGAACGTGACAACGTCATAAGAAAATACTGATGGAATGGTTTCATTTTTCAAAAGAAAATTTTAATTTTATTTGTTTGATAGATATTTTGTATGGATATAGAGAAGGAGGTAAATGGAAATGTATTATTGTATAGCAGCTGTCCACGCGGAC